TGTGTGTGTGTGTGTGTGTGTGTGTGTGTGTGTGTGTGTGTGTGCGTGCGCGCGTGTGTGTGTCTGTGTGTGTGAGTGTACGAGTGTATAGAAGTGAGAAATTAAATTGCATCCTCATCCCAAAATAAATCCCACAAAAAGCAGTTATATCATGACATTTCGGGTTTGTGAAATCTTCCCGGAGTAAGGTTACAGCGGTGCAAGATAATTCATTTTGAAAAGTTACCAGCTATCTACGTTTAGGTACTGTTATCCTTTTTCTCTTCCGTCCGTCCATTCATTTTTTCCTTGTCTGTTAATGAAGCCAATGTCTATACTTCGTAATCAGGAGTTTTCTCATATCACAGACTGTCAACCACAATGTTCAGCTGACCTAGTCGTGAATCCTTTAATTAATTGTATCGTGGTCTGTCTGGATGAATTACGGTAAAAAAGAAAAAACAAATATATTCGATTTTTTGTTGAAACAGTATGTTTTTGAACCTTTTTGTTGGAATAAAATATTACGAGTATCTTCACAGTATTTCATTCATATCCATTACGTCTACATGCTAGCTTTATATATGTCTTTTCAAAAAATATCTCTTTTCTCTTCCATCACTATGACGGAGGGTGCCACAGGTAGATCCTACTTATGTACTTCCCTTCTTTTGTTTTTTTCTGTCCTGTCTGTCTATTTTTTTTTCAGCACTGAATGATCATTATTGTGTCGATATGCTCGTCTTTACTCAAACAAACAAACGTTGCAAAGACGACAAAGTAGATAAGTCTTAAGTGAATATAATGAAACGTGCCTTTTTTTTCTTAACCCTATCCATACGTCGTGTTTTACTAACGTATCCATACGACGTGGGGAACTTTGTGCCACCACTTTCTAAAGAGGGAATTTACTCGTTAATCCGATCCTTACCCTTTGCATAGAAGTCTGTCAAAATGATTTTTTGATAAATACTGAAAGTTTCAAAGAGATCTTCAAACTAGAAGTATTCTAAAATGTAAAGAATACAACCCCGGTGGTACAAAATGACCCCTGGGTGTACGGATTGGGCTAATATCATGGTGTGAATTTTGTACGAATGTATTTTGAAGTATGACAATCCAGGCAGAATATCTGACATAATGCGACATACCCCTCGATAGATCGGGCTGAAATCAAAACATGAAAAAACGATCTGGACTTGATGAACGTGGTTGCATCTCTGAATCAACAAGACTGGTAGGTGATTGACCTGACGGCAATAGAACTTGCTCTAACAGCATTCCCCAGAAGGAGAGAATCTTTATCGAGCATCTAAGTTCTTTCTATTGGGATGTTGTGTTCCTCACAACCTGTTTGACTCTGACAGGTGGGGTCGATGTTCATCTCCTAAATAACCTAAACTGTGTCGATGGGGGCGTAAAAGCACCTAGCCTACACTTTATAAACCTTCAAGACTTGTTTTCAGAGGCCAAAAATTTTACTTGTTTCTATCGAGAAGAAGATAACAAAAGTGTAAAGAGTCAAACATCAAAAAGAAAGAGGGATATAGATCACGACAGAAAGGGAAATACATGTATGACGTGTAGGTTTCGCATTAAAACAGCATTATTAAATTGCGTTTCTCTCGTATAATAATTTGTGTCCAGACGTGGTGGAACCAGGCGCTGTCAGTTTTTGGCCATGAGGAGTTATTGGTATCATCTTGAAGCCTATTCATTTGTCTTGCTTTCGAAGAAAAAAAATATACATCTATCTTGAACAAAAGTTGAGATACTTGCAATTGAAGCAGATGGGGGGAGGGGGTCACCTGTTTCACCGGTAAAATTCGCGAGAAAATGGTCCCCAAAGTTTGGTGACTTCCAAAGATTGAGAATCCTTGGAAATTGCAAATTGACATTATTATTATTTTTTATGTTTTTGCTTTGAGCAACGTTTTTCGATTTAAAAAATTCACACATAAATCAATTAATCGGCGTAAATTGTTACGTGTTGAAATGAATTATCTGTTTTTAGGAGCTTTTTACAAAGCTAATAGTTTTAGTAACATCAGTTGTAGAAGTAGTCTGATTTTGTTAAAGCATGTTGCTGTCGGCCTAGAGACAGAAAAAGGCGGGGACGGAGTGGAAACGGGAGAGAGGAAGAGAGTGAATGTGTGAGCGAGAGATGGGAGAGGTAGAAAGAGAGTGAGAGAGGGAAGGGGAGGATCGAGGAAGGAGAGGGGGGAGAAGAGGGGATGTTTCTGATTCCTCAGGCAAAAACTTGGTATACAACAGTCTTGTAATACACACAAAGCCGGTGGCATTGTGCTGTTCAATTGATCTCTGCATCTAGTTGTAGATACAGTAGAACCTGCTCTAACGGCCACCTGTGCGAGACAATCACCTGTACAAAAGACCACTTCCCACTTCCGCTCTTTCAGTGTGTTTGTTTTCTACCTTTCTGCGTGTGAGGCGTTGAAAATGGGGGTAAGGTCAGAGAAAAAGAGACAGACAGACATAGAGAGAGAGAGAGAGAGAG